GAGCCTCTGTCCCCGTGTGCGCCTTTCCCAACCAGGTGGAACCCTCACTGGTGTGTGCTGTCCACAAATCTGTGAACTCCTGGTAGAAAAACACTTTCCTGTTCCCGCGCCGCCTGTGTCTGCCTTTGTCAGGAACCATTCCCAGTCCCCATTCCTGTAAACCACCCTTAGCACCTCGCCTCTGGGCTCAGCGCTGAGTTCAGGCCCTGCCTTTTTTTAAATCTTCCCCCAAGGGTATTTCTCCATTGCTTTTTCAGAGAGAGTGGATGGGGGAGGGGGGAGAGTGAGAGAAACATCGATTGGTTGCCTCACGCACACGCCCCAACCAGGGCCAGGGGTCGAGCCTGCAACCGAGGTGCGTGCCCTTGACTGGAATCGAACCCGAGACCCTTCAGTCGGAGGGCCGATGCTCTAACCACGGAGCCAAACCAGCCAGGGCCTGACTTTTATTTCAGTGCCTGTGCCTGTGGGAGGAAGACACATCTGCACCCCAGATCTTCAAGTGAGCCCCACGCAGGATGGACCCTGGGTGAGAATTTTGCTCATTTCCTTCACGACAGCAGCGGGCTCGGTGAACGTTTATGGGGCTCACTGTGTGTCAGGCACAGGCTGCTGGCCATACTCAGTCCTGACAGCCCCCCGGGAGGCAGGGACTCACCCATTTCTCAGAGGGAGGAGCTGCATGGCTGGGAGGCCACTAAGGGGAGAGTGAACGGGCCCACTCTGCCCAGGGTAGGCAGGGAGGGGCCACGGTGTTTGTCAGGGACGGTCAGCCTGTCTTGCACCTCCTACGCCTGCGGCAGTGGGTGGGAAGCAACAAACTGACGGTCACCCTTAGGGAGGTGGGGACGTGGCGGGACAGAACAAAGAATCCAAGGGAAGGGCGTCCAGGCAGAGCAGCCTGACCTGAGGGAAGGCTGTCCTGAGAGATCTAGTGCGCTGCGTCCAAGCTGGTGCTGGGCGAGGCCTGGAAGGGCAGGGCCCCCTGGCTGGGGCTGGGTCTCATGTGGGGAGCGTGACTCCCCCTCCTCTCAGGCCTTGGTCTCTTTCTCTGGGCTGGTTGGAGGCCCCAGCGAACAGGACGTAGCCAGGAGCTGCAGGCAGCTGGAAGGCCCCTCCCGCTGGGTCTCAGCCTGGTGCCATCGCAGGCTGGGTGGGTCTTAGGGGCATCTTCAGGGGAGCTGAGGACCTCCCAGGGACCCCCATCCTGGCCCGGGTACCAGGAAACCCATAGTGCAGGCTGCTGGAGGCCAGGCTGTCAGGGTCTGTGCTTCTTGTCTGCAAAGAAGAGCCTCCGGAGCTTGTCAGGCTGCAAGGAGGGAGAAGATGCTGGAGCCTGGGGTCCCTGGACGGGGAAGGGGACACCCAGGCCCGCAGGGTCCTTCAGCATTGGCTGGGGGCTGGGGGCCAAGCCCTATATCCCGGTGGAAATTCCACCATCAGCTCTCCAGTTTTGGGTGAAGGGTTTGCCCCTTCCGGCTCAGGAGGCTGTGTCCTGAGCCTATGAAGGTGTCTAGCACTATCTCCTAGGCCAGTGATTTTTAATCTTTTCTATCTCACTGCACATAAACTAATTACCAAAATTCGGTGGCACAGCAAAACATATATTTTTTGCCAATCTTACCAAAAAAAAAAAAAAAAAAGGAAAAACTTTGATTCATTCACGCCGGACAGCTATTGTGTTGGCTGTTGTCATTTTTTTTTTACCTGACAGTTTCAGGAAAAAGAGGTCAGTACCCCTACGTAGTCAGATATTGCAAGTTTTAAAAATTCTTGCGGCACAGTGGTTGAAAATCACTGCTCTAGGCAGCTGCCCCTGGACCGAAGCCTGAAGACTAGCCCCTTCTGTAGATGAGGGGATGCAAGTCCCAGGCAGGTTGCTGAATAATACAGGATGCCCAGTTATACTTGCGCTTTAGATAAGTAATGAATTATGGAACATATTTATGCTTAAATTACTTATCTGGAATCAGAGCAACTGAGTGTCCTGTAGTTTATCTTACTAAATCTGGTGACCCTTAGTTGCTAGGAAAACTGCCTTGCCCAGAGCCACATGGCCAGGGAGTGGCTGAGCCGAGATAAGTCAGACCTGGAGCTCCTCCCGCCCCCTCAAGGGCTCTGAGACACCCGAAGTGACCAAGAGGGATGGACAGGGAGCCCCCATCTTACACCCAAATCTAATGGCCTCCTCTCCTACCACCTGCAAGCAGATGTTAGGGTTGGAAAACCCTGGGTACCTCTGGGCAGGGGCGGTGACCTGCCCTGCCCCTGCCTGAAGGTCACAGGTCCCTCCTAGCACCAGCTGCTCCCTGAGGGCTGGCAGCCACCCCCCCACACACGCAGAACCCACCTTGTGTGTCCGTCCAGCGTCCTTGCTCTTGGCTGCTGGGATTTGTTCATAGGTGTTCCTAGGCTCCAGGAGCTCCGGGGCTCCCGTGAAACTCTCATAGCCATAGTCTGTGGGCCCGGAGAGTTTGCCATGTGTGAAACTGGCCTCAGGAACTAGGGGCCTGGCTGGGCCACCCCAGCAGACTGGGATCTGCTCATAGGTACTGTCTTCTTTCCGGTCCGGCACATCGCCAGCGTCCTGCAGGGAGCCTTCTGTCTGGATGAGCGCGTAGGTGTCTGCAGAACTGCGCCCGGAGCAGAGCTGAGTGCCCTGGCCGGGCTTTGGAGACCCCTGGCTCCGGGTCGCAGCTGAGGATCCTGGATCCTCACCACTGGGAGGCAGGAGGAGGCCCCGGGAAGTGGAAGACACTGTAGGGCCCTGGTCTGGGCTCCCCACAGAGAGGGCAGGCCCTGGGCCATCGGGCCTGTTCTGGCTTCCGTTTGAGGGTCTCCTCCGGGCCTCCTTGCCTAGGGAGCTGGCCCGGCTGCCAGCTGGAACTGGCCCATGCCTGCCAGACACCTCTGTGCCCAGACCGAGCCGCACCTGCTTCATCTTCTTAAGGTCTGTGTAGATGATGTCGTTGGAGCTTCCAAAAGACTGGTCCAGAAGGGAGGCACTCCTCTCAGGGAGGGGGGGCACCCTGCTAGGGGGCTGGGGAGAGAGGAACAGAAAACCTCATAAAGGTCGCACATCACCAAAAGGTTGTCCGGTAAACTGAAGTGCTCTTAGATAGCTGAGACCCCCAACTTAGCCTCAGTTTACCTGACTTCAGCACAGGGTTGGTTGCATGTGTTCAGGACCCAGCCACCCACCGTGCAGGACTCTGAGGAGAGTCTTTATCTTGACTCAAAGTCTGGGGTCAACAGACTTTGGGTGGGTCTCCCTCCCACCCAAGCTTATCCTGCCTCCAGGGTGGTTGCCCTATTCCCCCGAACCCCCTTAACTCACCCACTCACTGG